ACGTAAAAACAAACATGTATATTTCTGCGTATGCACATGTCAGGACTATATTAGGGAAACTGAAGGGTAGATAAGATAGCATAGAACAACTTATGCCATTTAACGACCCACTAATTCTATATATTAAATATAGCCTATTTTGTCTTATGGCCCACAAATTACCTATTTGTATATTTACATACATAGGATATGTTGACACATTCACATGCTAGAGTTTATGCATATGGGGATCATAGCATTTATATGCACTGGAGCCAACACTCCAACTACTAAAAAGACGATTTATATGATGAAGATTATCTTGAGAACACAAACATCACCAATGTGCTCAAAAGGAACTTAAAATAAAGCACCAAAGGAATGATAGAATGATCAGGTAACAACTAGGAATTCAGAGGGATTTACTCTAAAACCAATGTGGGCATACACTAAATAACTCGAAGAACGAGACTATTGTTGGGTGAGTGTAGCCATTAAAGGCCTTATGAGTGCTTGATCCCTTGTGGATCATACTAAGCGAACGATGTTTACAAATACTATAATGTGCTTGACGTACTAGGTCAGTGTAGTTGAGAAAAACCTATTTTGCCTGGGGATAGAAAACTATCCGATAAGGGTTCTAATAGCTTATTCCTTGATAAGGTCGGAATATGCCTGGATGAGTGATCCGAGGGACCGTGTGACCCTTATGTGTGATGGTGGCCTTCAGAGACGAGGGCCAAAGCCTCATCCGCGAGCCATCACATGACATGCATATATGATAGCCGTTTGGGAAAGCGGACCACCTTTCAGGGTGAAGATTATGCATGTGTGGAGATACCCCTATGCGCCACAGGGGCTGTGGTCGCGTCAGGTCTATGTGACTTTGGTATTTCTCCAAGGGAGAACCTGAAATCCATAAACTGTGATTACTACCTCTTGGCTCATAGGCCAAACTTTGGTGACCCATTAATGAGCCCCTGCATGGACTATAGATCATGGAAAACACTGGGTTAGTTTGATAAAGCAAGTGTGGACCGTAGTCCATAGTTGAAGGTGGAGTGCCCCAACGTTTATTTATTTAATTCCTGGACTATATGGATCCTTTTCCCATCGAATGAATTTAATTATCTTTGTTTTAATGATATATGTTTTTTAGAATTATTATTTGAATTTTTTTAGATCTTTGGATATTTTATTTATTAAATTTGGATTTAATTATTAATATTGGATTTTATAAATTTCTAAAAATTATATAAATTTTTAATTAATTTATTTTTGCATGGGAGGACCAATATGCTTATGGGCCCACTATTGCAATGTGGGTGGGGCCCATGAGTGCCACCAAGGGTAGCATGCCCCACTCTAAGGAGCTTTCCAATTTTGTTGGATCAAGGTTTGACTTGAAGTAAAGGTTTGTGATGTTTTGGAAAGCCTTTGCCTTGAGGCAGTTTTGAATGGATTTTTAGAAAGCATGAAAATGCTTATGCCTAATTTTCGTAAGCACAATATTATGAATGGAATTATTTTATTTAATTTGGAGGGTTCAAATCTCTCACCCCACAAGTCACCCAAGATCAATGGTTCATATTCAATCTCACAAGAATAGACATGCCAAGAAAGTCGTTAAGAAACCCTAATCTTGTTCAACCACAATAAAAAATGATTGATCTCTACCCAAATCTCTACACCTTATCTCTTACACCTAATTTTCATCTCTCTCTCACATCCCACAAAGGGGCACACCCCACTTGGAATATCTCTTTCTCTTAAGAAAGTTACTTTCTCTCCTCAAGAGAGGGCATGCCCCACCCTCTCATCTTTGATATCTCTCTCATGGTGGTTCTCTCAACTCTCTCATGATCTCTCATCTCTCTCATTGGGGTTTTAAATTATAAGATTGTGGTAGAAAAGAGAAGCATCTCTCTCAAACTAGGTTGTTAAGGGAATTCACCTAAAGGTTTGAGATTGTGATAAAGGAATTCATTGTTCCATTGAATGGTTTGGCCTAAACTTACTTTCCCGGTTTGAGATTGAAAGTTATCATTGATCCCACGCCATCAGATGGTGGTGACTCGGTGTGGGGTATAAGAAGCCCTGTTGAGGTAATCTCCGGCTCTCTCTTTTTTGTTTCTTACCATATTTAATTATATAGTCTTTATATTATCAAGTATAAGAACTGTGGTTATTTTCTTTGATTAAAGAAAATTGGTTTAGTGGCGTCAAGGCTTTTAAGATCTTGGATTTATTAGTTTTATTTTCTTTGAAGCAAGAGTTATTGTAATATGCCTACTTGTAAGTGATCTTTACCAAAAGAAAGAAAAGGGTGCAAAAAAAAATAAA